AATTTTTCACCAAGATCTTGCATTGATGATGGTAGAGTCTGACCGCTGCGCAAAGCCTTCTCTAGCACATCCCAAAGATTCTCAATGGGGTTGAGGTCTGGACTCTGTGGTGGCCAATCCATGTGCAAAAATGATGAGTCATGCTCCCTAAACCAGTCTTTCACAATTTGAGCCCGATTAATCCTGGCATTGTCATCTTGGAATATGCCTGTGCCATCAGGGAATAAAAAGTCCATTGATGGAATAACCTGGTCATTCAGTATATTCAGGTAGTCAGTTGATCTCATTCTTTGAGCACATACTGTTGCTGAACCTAGACCTGACCAACTGCAGCAACCACAGATCATAACCCCGCCCCCACAGGCTTGGACAGTACAGTAGGCACTAGGCATGGTGGGGGCATCACTTCACCTGCCTCTCTTCTTACCCTGATTGGCCCATCACTCTGGAACAGGGTAAATCTGGACTCATCAGACCACATGACCTTCTTCCATTGCTCCACAGTCTAATCTTTATGCTCCCTAGCAAATTGAAGCCTTTTTTTCACTGATTAGTGGTTTTCTTACGCTACACAGCTGTTCAGTCCCAATCCCTTGAGTTCTCTTCGCATTGTGCGTGTGGAAATGCTCTTACTTTCAGTATTAAACATAGCCCTGAGTTCTACTGTTGTTTTTCTTCCATTTGATCTCGCCACACGTTTAAGTGATCCACGATCACAATCATCAAGGATGTTTTTCCTGCCACATTTCTTCCTTGAAGATGATGGGTCCCCACTATCCTTCCAGTTTTTAATAATGCGTTGGACGGTTCTTAACCCTATTATAGGAGTTTCTGCAATGTCTTTAGATGTTTTCTCTGCTTGATGCATGCCAATGATTTCACCCTTCTAAAACAGACCAACATCTTTTCCACGATCACGGGATGTGTCTTTTGACATGGTTGTTTAGAAAAATGAGAAGCAAGTCATTGCACCAGTTGGGGTTAAATAACTCGTTGCCAGCTGAAAAATAATCGCCCATGCAGTAATTATCCAATAGGAGGCTCGTACCTATTTGCTTAGTTGAATCCAGGTGGCGACTTTTTTTTTTTGGCCAGGCAGTTTTATAATGTGCAATTTACCATTTGATACCCGGTGCAATTACCTGTTTCTCTATATTTGACACCCAGTGCAATAAATACATATATAAATATCCATCTATATAAATACAGATGTAAACACCCTGTGCAATAACTCTGTATAATAATCCTGTTATAAAAAAAAAAAAACCTGTCATATGTGGACGAACTTTTATATCCTGTAAATATTGCATGCACCTTTTTCTTCCTTTGGCACCTTCTTCTCTTTTGACTATTTGAGCTGATGTAACTTTCTCCACTGCAAGATCAATAAAGTCAATCAATCGATCAGGTTTTCATCAGGTTGCCTGTTCAGTCCTACCTGTGGAGCCGCACTCTGTCTGAGGTGAAGAGCAGATACTCGGAGACGTTTCGGCCTGTGATGTCCACCAGGATGTCCCCTGTCACCACTTTCATGAGAGGGGGGCGTCCTCCGACCCCACTGGGGCAGGAGAAGCCGGTGCCCTGCATCGAACAGGTGCATCGGACTGGCTCATGGATGGACAGCGGGAGGGTGGGAGGAGATGTGACAGGCTCTGAGGAAACCACAGATTTATTACACTCAGCAGACTTTTCAGCCATATTTACCAAGGAGGTTAACATTTCAGTCCTGTCTGTTTCATGGCAGCAGGATAACTTGAACGGTTACACTGCAAAAAATTGGAATCTAAATAAGTAATTTTTTTCTTGGACGGAGGAGGGAGAATGAGACAATTTGCTAATGGAACAAAACAATTTACAAAGTGCCCCTCATGCCAAAGAACAATTCAGTGCCTGTAATTTGTTTTGACTCTGATTACTTTCCATTATTGTAAGTAAGGGGTAACGCACGCTGCCCAGATCAGAACAGGGCTGATTACCGTGCAATAATGATGAACGACTGAGTGAAATCCATCAATCTCTGTTTATTTAACTGAACTGTATGGTTGAATACTTTTCTCCATGACCTTTCTCATTTAATATCAGATTTACTGGCCTAAACACAGCTTCTCTTTTCAGATCCAAGACATTTCTTTGGGCCTCTTTACCACTTATAAATAATAACCTGCAAAGATCCACAACTTATCACCCTTAAAAGAAATTCAAGAAATGAAGGTTCAGGTAATTGGATCCATTTCCCTCTGGTGGTACTGAATGAATAAATTAAATTAGTGCTGTAATCAGACACTTGAATACAACATGTCACTCAAGGCCAAGGATCTCAAACCACGCAGTAGATCTAAGTTAAAATACTCACAGGGGTTAAAGGCTGGATTATGGCATCAGATTACAACAAAAGTGAACCACGAGTGTATTTTCATTCACCACAAGCGTAAATAACATTAAACAAGCGTATTTAGCACTAAACGCGCACACCGAGCATACAGTGGCAAAATCTCTACAAATAGACTGAATGTTTTTAAGCCATCCAGAGGTCTCCATCCCACCACTAAGCTCCAGATTGAACCACAGTGTTCTACTTTTTTTATGCATCATTAGTGCAGATTTGTGCAGTTGTGCTGCTTTTGTTTTTAAAACGTAATCTTTTTTAACTTCCACCAATGATGCCACCAGCCAAGCATGACAAAATGATGCAGTGCGATGCGGTGATGCTAAAAGGGACAACGTTTTGGAACAAAAGCGGAGAAGAAGGGGGTTATAAACGGGGATATAAAAGGGGAAAGCGCACAGTTTTTGGACTCACCGTGAACAGTAGTTGGAGGGGCAACAGTAAAGTTCCACAACCCATCAACAAAACGAGGGTCTGGATCATCTGAAGGAGCTGGGGAAGGTGGCGGGGGGACGAAGTTGGACAGAGGGACCCCCTGGGTGAAGGAGTCCAGACACATGGAGTCAAAGTACTGGGCAGCCAGAGTCTTGGAGTCATTGGCACTGGGGTTGAGGGTCTGGGCTAGCTGGTCCAGGGTGCTGTTAAAGGGAGTCTTGAGGACGCATGTTGCCCCCACACCCGAGGGGAGACGGAGGGTGTTGATGATCTTCTGTGGACGGGCATCTGGTGACAGCTTACTCCTGCAGCTCCAAAATTCAGACAGTTAGAAGCCCACAGCCACATTTATTACTATATTTATTCCAGGACAAGATGTTCACCAGTAGGACCAGACGACCAGCAGGATCTAAAAGGACTAATGTCTGCATTCATCAGTAGGAGAATTGATCCCTGCAGAGGTGTCTTAACAGGTTTGTCTAAATAGTGGATCAGACAGCTGCAGCTGATCCAAATACTACCTGCGTTCTCGCTACGACTAGGAAATTGGAGAACATCAACCCAGAAGTCCTCCACCAGTTCCCAGTATCTCAGAGAATACTTTAAAATAATTATGTTAGTTTATAAATCACAGAAAACCTGAAACATACATTATAGACTTTAGCCTCTTTCCCACTTAAAATAGCAGGCTAACGTGTTTATCAAACATGGGTTGAGCCAGTAACAGTCGGCACTTGGGTCCCGTCTCATTGGTAAAGAAAGCTGGCCTCTGACCCATGCCGCTGCGTCTCTGGTGACATCATCACACTGGTTTAGCGTTGATGATGTCACCCGAGGGACAGATTTCAGGAAAGTAAACAATGGAGAGCAACATGTAAGGAAGCCAGGGCGTGGTCGTTTCAGTATTTTATTTGTCCAAATCCCTCTCACCAGAGCTGTTCCAAGTTTATCGAATGCAAACGGAGTTGTTTGGGCTTCTTAGAACAGACATGGCACGGTGTGTTGACATGCGTATGTTGGGTTCAATGGTATCATGTAAATCAGAGGCTAGACCCTGGCCTGACGCTCCCACAGCATGCCAATCAGAGCCAAGGCTATTTTAACGCAGGTTGCTTGCCTTTTGACTCTGGTAGACACACGTCAGTAAGTTGATACCGCTGCCACTAAAAGCCTATTGTTCCCGGGATTAAATGGGTTCTTCGGCCGGTAAGAAAAGGAGACTGTTGTCAGTGAATCAACAGCCAGACCTTCTAGGTCTTCCAGATCAGATCTACTCTGTACACCCAGAACCAAACTGGAAGTAGCAGCATTTAAATCTTATGCTAAACTAATCTGAAATAAAATCCCCAAAAAGCTGCATAAACCTGAAGCCCTAAACTAATTTAAACTGCTGTCAAAAGTTAAAGCATCTCTCCTTTTAAAGTTTAAATTTTTAATTAGTGTGGCCTCAGATTAACATTAAAAGGTTTAAAGTTTAGAGTCAAACTAACATGCATGACTTCTAACAAGCCACTGCTATTTACTCTCTTTAGTCTTGTTACTAACATCTGTTATAAACTTATCTTCTGTGTTGTTATAAACAGGATAAAGGTTTAATGAATCTCAAAGAGTGCTTTAATGCAGCACTGGTCTTCAGCTTCAAATTAGCCACATCCACATCAGCATTTACAGCGTTTTCTATGTACCCTCCTTAAGGCTAACCCTGTTACATCTTTGAGTCATGGCCAGAATTTGACCTTTTAAGCTGCATCACAATGAATACAGGTGCTGTTACCTGTACTGGGGTCTGTCTTCATTGGCGTAGGGAATGAAGTTGCCTCTGGGCTGCGTGTAATTATGATACTGAGAGGGAGACAAGATCAGCGGCGGCAGATCTCCTGTGAAACACAACAAGCCCAGCCTTCACCACCACCATCACATGTTGAGGCGTTCTAAAGAGCACGGCTGCAGTTATCAGAACTTACCGATCTCTGGGACCGATAGGGCCACGGTCATAGCAACACAGACGAAGAAAGCAGGTAGAAGGATCTGAGAGAAAAGGCCCTTCGTGTTCCTCTTGGCACAGTGGAACCTCTTTATGATGAGGCCATGAAACTGACTGAGCTTCAGCCACCAGCCCTCCAGCTTGAAGCTCCCCTGACCTTCTAGGACCTCTGGCTCTGAGGGATTCTCTGCATCGCCTGCAGGGGAGAGAAATTATTCTAAAATACTATAATTTCATATATAGATTTAACCGTTTATGCCTTTATTGTAAAACCCATACATTTATGGATTAGGTAAATTAATTGTGATGAGGACAAGATGCGAATCTTATGTTCGTTATAACTTGAGATAGAGCATTGGAATGGCAAGATACATTTCAAGGTGTAAATACTTGTGTTTTTAATTAAAGTAGAACATTATCTCTTAAGTTATGAAGAAGATTTTAATGAGTGATTAGAATTTTGCAACTATTTATTTAAAAACAAATGGTGTGGTGGAAATTACAATGAATGGACCATACAGACAACAAACCTTTCTTTTTAAAAACTTTATGGAGCATTATAATAATAAATAAATACATTATTAAATAATAATAAATTAATTGCAGTTGTGCATAGGTGGTACTAAGGGTGGGAGAGATGGGGTGGCACCACCGCAAAATGCTTAGCATGTAAATTATAGTTAGAAACATGTCAAAAGTTGTCTAAAAAAGTGTTATTTTATAATATTACCACATTGTTGTAATAATAAAATTAGATAAATAAAATGAGAGAGAAAAAGGGCCTTGTATATGTATCTATAAAATGAAAAAGAACAAACGTGAAAAACCATAGAACAGAAATTCAATTCAAAATTGGGGAATTTCATTAGTGTTAGGGTAATCTTTGAAGTAGGCGGCATTTTCTTCATTTAAAGCTTTAACTTTTCAGTAAATCAGAGTTTTTTGGCTGCATGATAAAAGTTTTATTGTGCTAGTGAACCATGAGAGTTATTTTCCCCTTCCATCCCTGCTTCTCATCGCAGTGATGTCTCACCTCTCAGGCTGGCTGAGTCTGACTCCTGGCCATTTTCAAACAGAGGGCAATAATCTCCATAGAAGTCTGCATACAGCCCTCCTTCATCTCCACGCACGGAGCCCACCGAGGAGGAGGACCTCAGGGAAGCCTGGCTCTGGCTGAGCCTGGAGCTTTGCACCAGATTGCTCAGTTCAACCTCAGACTTCTCATTGTGCACCGAGGGTTCGGTCTCAGGCTGTGGTCCAGATTGGACTTCTGATCCTGCGGAGAGTTTCCCCAAAGAGCTGCCCCCAGGAGAGCTCTTCATCTCTGCAAAGAGATGAAAAATCCACAACTAGGTGTCAGCAGGAAAAGAAAAGTACAATAGTGATCACCGTGCAAGGGAGGAGGGCATCACCAGCGTCACTGTTGTCCATAGACTGGTCCTCCTCAGAGACTTTGAGGAACACCTCCTCTAATGTGGTGTCCATCACTCCAAAGCTGGTGAGCGCCAGGCTGGCCAGGCTCTGCTCCAAAGCCTGCAAACAAAAGCCTGGAGATGTTTTTTCATTTAAAGCTCTCCCTATGATGCTTTGGCGATAAATAATCTACATGACTTTATCAGAACTCTTATGGACAGCATCACTTTCCTTCTGCATGGGAAAGTGTTCCTTTCCACTGTCGCTACAAGCATGCTTGGTGTGAGGGATTATTAAGTCAATGAGTCGATGCAATCACCTGGTTTTCCTTAGATAGAAAGCTTTGAGCCACTCTGACTGGTTGATCTATTTGAATTGTCTCTGTCAAATGCCTTGAGATGCAGTGGTGGAAAGTTACTAAGTAAATTTACTTTATTACTGTATTTTATCAAGTGCTTTTTGGAGTATCTTAACTTGAGTAATTTTTTCGGGGGTTCTTATAACTTTCTACTCCACTACATTTCTAGGAAGCTGTTAGTTACTTGATCATTTTGGCTCAGCTTAGCTTCATAATCCAGTGTTGCTTTTGTTCTTTCTTGAAATGCAATTTCCACGTTGCAGATAGCAGCCATTAGGACTAAATCTGGACACCAAGATTTTAGAGATTTGCATGACGTTAAACAAATGTAAGAAAAAAATATGTGGGCAGATATTTTTAGTAGCTTATAAATGTTATTAAAGTGTTAGTTGTTGCCATGTGGCCAAATTGTTCAGCAGGATGAGCTTTCAAAACCTCTCGAGTTCCAGTTTCTAACAGATTTGACCTTTAACCCATATGTATGGAGGACCGACACTGCCATATATAAAAATAAATACAGAAATAAATAAATGCTCAGTAAATAAATAAGCATGCAATTAATTGCCACCAAAAATACAATAAACTAATAAATGTAAGTAGAAATTAAATTATACAGTGAGACATAAATGTAAATAACTCTTTTAATTAGCTTCTTTATTTATTTGCCTTTGTCATATTTACCTTATTTATTTTTTTGTCCTTTATAATCTTCAACTTTATTTTTTAATTACTTATATTTTTAAGTATTTATTTATTTGCATATTATAATATTTTTGTCTGTTTTATTCTTCCTTTGTATTATTTTACACTAGTTATTTATTCGCCGCTATTTATTTCTGCCTGCCCTTAGTCCTCCATATATATCCCATATTCAAAGTGTGAGGGGAATCAAGACTCTCCTGTTTTCTCTTTGGTTTCTAAATAAGAAATAACGATAAAAAAAAAAAAAAAACAGCCCTTTTTTGTGGCATTTTTATGCTGAAATTCTTTCCAGATGGTGTAGAATCTGTAGCGGGAAGTTTTACCCATCAATACAGCAGGAGGTTTCTGAAAGTTACCGGTTCTTTAAAAGGATGCAGAAATGTAAAGATATTATTTGTATTTTTGAATATTAAAGTATTTTTAAATGCATGTCATTTTAAATACTTCAGTATTTTCAAAATCGAGTACTTCAATACTTTAACTTGAGTAGATGTTTAACCGAGTAACTTTTACTTGTAGTTGAGTAAGTAACTATTTGCATCAATACTTTGACCAAATGTACTACTGTTGAGTACTTCATCCACCACTGTTGACATGACGAGTGTTTGGAATTGGTGCTATATACAGTAGCAGCCATTCAACATGGCACTTCCAAGTCAAACTCCACCCAAATGGCAGCCCACTTCCCTTCAACTCCCTGCAGAATCCCCTCCAACTTCCAGGCACTGGAGTGACCCCGTCTTGCACGTTTTTGTACTCTGACTCCCCTCTTTCATTGAGTTACAGGGTCTGACCAGGAGATGGCGCTTTCTTAATCTCCACAAATCATGACAGAATATTTTAGTACAAATATTGATGTTTATAAAGGAAATGTAGGGGACCAGCCAAGGACCCATCAAGGAAAGTGGGGAAATTTTGAATGGCTACTACTGTGAAACTGAAAACTGAAATGAACTGGATTCAGAGTTAAACTGCTGAAATAAAAACGCATCTGCGTCACTGTTCTCTGTTGTCACCAGGTGAGGCATTTCCCTCTAAATTCTTCTGATCTAATGCTCCTCCTCTTTCTGCCTGTTTAAATTAGGGGTGGGTATTGGCAAAGAAGTCATGATTCGATTTGAGTCACGGTTCACATGCCACGATACGATTCGATCACGATGCATCACGATACTTGAAATATTGCGATGCATCGCGATGCGTTGCGATATTTTCACCGAACACTGTAAGAAAAAGATACAGCCCTAACCAGTGGCTGACTGGCTGGGTGTGATCTGGATCGTGTCTTCAATTGATACATAACTGAAAGGAACTGAATTCATACATAGCTGTATTTATGGAAACGACTTTTGGAGGTTTTGCCATGAAAACAAATACTGGACAGAAATATTACTATTACTGGCGTGGACACACTGACAAAAAGATCTTAGGATTCATCAAACTTAAAATAACAAATTAAGGATAATCAGTGCCGTTTACATGGCCTCAGTGGTCCTTTTACAAATTACATGCATCTTATCAATTTCATTTTTACCTTATTTGTTTTTTAAGCCAGAATGCATCCAAGCATCTGATTTGAAATGTGATGGAACCGGGGGCCGAATTTTCTCAGTCTCCTCCATATTTTGTTTATGAATGACTCGTCTCAGTTTCCCGCGGCCGGACATGCTTGTGACACAAAGCAGCGAGCGTCAACACATCTGCAGCGACATCTGCTGGACTGGAAGTTGTATTCCACTTGAATTGGCTGATGTGCGCCAACCATTATTGTATTTTATTTGTTCTTTTTTTTTTTTTATAATCGATTCTTGCCTTCAAGAATCGATGCAGTAGATGACAAAAATTAGAATTGTGATGCATTGTCATGACGATTATTTTGCACACCCTTAGTTTAAATCATAGAAAAGAATTTGGTTCAATCAAGAATGAAGAAACCCTTAGTGCAACAATAACAGTCCTCATTTAGTGGCTAATTAGAGGTTGATCCCATTTAGTCCGGCCTTTGAGGAAACTGTCAAACGCTGATGGAATGGCAACTCCCACTGAAATCAGTTTTTCATACCTGGAACAGCCTCTCAAAGCAGCCCTTCTTGACGGACTCGGAGGGCAGGATGTAGGAGAGCTCCGTGTTTGAGTCGGACACCAACAGGCAGGAGGCCACAAACTGCTGAATGAACCGGGTGACCCGAGCTTCTGAGCAGGGCGACAGCGCAGAGGAAGGGGACGATGAGGAGGAGGGAGGCTTCGGCTGGCTGCCCTGGCCTGGACGGTCAAACACAGAGGACTCTTTAAAGCATTTGAAGAGGTCGGTTTATTTGGAACAAAAGTCTACAGAAATAAAAGATGGAGGGAAACTGTAAATGCGCACCTCTGCCTTCTCTTTGCTTCTTGACCAGAGTCAGTTTGTACCCGTCTCCATAGGTGCTCTTCAGAAACAGAGGCGTTCCACAGCATGTCAGCTTGCCGTGCGAGATGATGGCGATGCGATCTCCCAGAAGGTCGGCTTCATCCATATGATGGGTGGAGAGCAGGATGGTCCGGCCTGGAGCAAAGGCACAAAAAAACAGACCGCCGCAGCATCACTCTGATGAACGGGAGGATACACAGCAAGGATTTCTGTTCTACGAGTTTTTTTGACAGTTTGAGCAGAACACGCTTGGAAGAGAAAAAAGAAGAAGAAATTAAGTTAGTGAAGTGAGACACTTCCAGAGCCGGATACTAGCTTCATGTTAGTGGTAAAACCATCCCCATCCCTAACCTCGTGAGACCATCCTGATCTCGCGAGCTTTCAAGGTTTCACTCGCAAATCAGTCTGGAGACTCTCCCTTAACGAAAATTTGTAGCCGTTCACCAAACGAACGTCCAATCAGCGTTGGCTTTGAGGCGGGTTGAGGTGTGACGCAACGAGAACAGTTCAGTCTAAAGAACATGGCGGCTTCAGCCGATGAAACTAGCGTTAGCGTGGCTATCGAGCAAGTTTTATCGGAATTACAGAGTATTTCTTCACTGAAAGAAGAGCAAAACACTGCTCTGGAGGCTTTTCTCAGAGGAAAAGATGTTTTTGCTCTTCTCCCGACTGGTTTCGGCAAGAGTAGCCTGGCTTGTGGTTGTGTTTTCGTCGTCGCTCTGTTAGTACGTCATATGCTTCGTTGATCTGATTGGTTTATTTGGCCCGTCTATCACCAACATAGGCCAATCAGCTAACCAGTATTTTCGCCCCTTCCCAAAATTTCTTCAACGGAAGGTTTCCAGATGGATATGCGGAGCAAATCCATCTGGCGGAGTCAGGTTACCCCATCCCTCCCAAACACCAGACTGCATTTAAGCGTTAGTTTTTAGGCTAAATCTGGTCAGTTGCTCATAGTCTTAATTTAGTCCATAAATCATGGTTGAAAATTGGGCTGTGTTTTGTGATTTTGTCCCAATTTAGTCCAATAATAGATGTTGAGAAGACGTTAAAAATCCTATTTTCAACATCTTTTCAACTATCTGAAAATTACGCCTTTTTTTCCCCCTTTCACTTTTCAACCAAATGTAGACGTTGTTTAGAAACAAATCATGTCCTTTTCCACCAATTTTTACTCGCTGGGATGCCGGTGGGTAGAGCTGGTGAACAGGCAACAGCCATGGTGGACAGCCCTGGCCAAGAACCTAAGCAGAACTTTCCCTGCATCAGTGAGAGGACAACATACCTGCATCTAAAAAACTGCAGACTTTCCAGGCAAACAGAAGCTAAACCACAGTTATGACACAATTAGGACGATTGAACTGTGTCAGACAATTGGTCTGGATCTGCTGCATCACCCACCCTGTTTGTACTTCAGGATGAGGTCCCAGATGGCCCTGCGGGCATAAGGATCCACCCCTGCTGTGGGTTCATCCAGGATCACGGCCCTGGAGCCGCCGACAAAGGCAATGGCCACGGACAGTTTCCTCTTCATCCCTCCTGACAATGTCTGGACCAAGCTGTGGCGCTTGTTGGATAACTCCAGGTCCACAATCATCCTGGACACACAATCATATAAATGTTTTTTCTCCATAAACAATTCAGAAATAAGTTAACATTTCTTAAATTAAGTGTATTTAACCTTAATTTGAGTAAGTAAATAAGATGATCTGCCAATGGAATGAGATTGTCTACTCTTAAAATAAGATAATTACATAATATGCACTTGAAATAAGGCAATGCAATTGTTTTTTATTTTATTTTAAATGTAAATTGTCTTGTTCCACTGGCATAGTGCCTCAATCACCTCCTCGATTCAAGAAAAAATGCACTTATTTTAGGAAAAGATGACCTATCTAGATTGACTTTTGCTAGAGTCAGAGCAGAACTGTGCTGCCTTCACATTTAGCTGGGTTCTGCATCATGTTTGGGTCGGACCATATGGTTCTGAGACCCACTTGGAGGTGAAACAATGGACATTTCTTAGAGCATTTTCAGGGCTCATATTTATCTTTTTTTTACTGCAAAAACGACCTAAAAATAAGTCAACGTTTCTTAAATTATGGGTATTTGTAAAGTGCCTGGAGATGACGTCTTGTGAATTGGTGTTATATAAATAAACTGAATTGAATTGAATAAGTGCTTCTTTAGTGCCTTAAACATTGTTATTTGTTCCCCCCTTACCACCACCACCATGATTTGAACCAAAGTTCTCTACATCCTAACTGCTTTTTTTGAGCAGCTTTCATTTCTGATTTATATCTTTTTACATAAACTGATCACATCCATGTTTTGTGTTGGTCAGCACTACCACTGGAGGTAATTGATGACATCATTAATTATTTATCATCAAGTCTTTCTGCTCAGAATGATGCATGCTAAATTTCACTATTAATTGCTTGGTTTTGTAGGTAAACATCCATTAGTTCATTTAAAAGAAGATAATTGTTTGAAGGTAATTGTCAAATCTCATTTTGAGAAATTATTACTAGATGGTAATTTCCACTGATCACAAATGTATTTAAGTTTCCCCCAAAATAATTAAATGTTATACTCCTCGAAATAAATTTTCAGGAATCCAGTTTGTGTGGTCTGTTTTGTGTCTGTCTCTCCCTCCACCACCAGGTGGCGCCCTGTCTTTGTTGGTCCTCCCTGCACACCTGCGGCTCTTTGGATCATTATCTGGAGGAGTACTTAAGCAGTGGACTGTCACTACCTCGACGCCAGAGTGTTTGCCAGTTTTGGGTACTCTAGCCATGCTTAGATTAGCAGAATCTAACCTAAGTCTTTGTTCCACTAAGTCAAACTGAGTCTTTGTTTCTCTGAGTCTAACCGTGTTTTTTTGTCTTAGCCTTTGGCAGGAAGTCCTCCTGCATACTGGATGTTTGGGCCTTCTTCTCCTGGAAGGATTGTTTATCGAGTTCACACTGAGCAGGGGAGAAACCTCCACATGTGCCGTTCAAGTCCCTCACGGAAATCCAAGTGACAGTCCGCTCCAGTGCTCCTCCAGGTCCAAAGAATGTCTCCCTGTCCACTCTTCGACATGTTCCCTCTTCTCTGATCAACCCACACAGACTGGATGCTAGTTAGAGAAGAACTCCCCCAAACGTGAGTCCCTCACTAGCATTTTCCCCACTGCATTCAAGATTCCCACAGTTCCTGAACTCACCTCTGTGTACTTCCCTCCTCCCTTTCAGTTCCGGTTCACCAGCCCTCTGAGTACACTGAGTTTCCTAAATCCAACCCCCGCTGGTTTTATCAATAAACCTGTTCAAACTTTTGCCTTGCTCTCTGAGTGGTTTACTGCATTTTGGGTCAGATCCTTAAGTAAATCATGACATAAATAAAATTAGACCGTAAACCCTTAAAAAGGCCGGCGTTAGTAGTTTCTCTTTTAGCATTTGGTCTTTTTTGGTTCAAATCTGAGCTTAATAAGGGGATGTGACCTAAACAATATCTTCAATGTCTCACAAACAAATGAGCACAAACAAAAATGAATTCTAACATTGCAGATCTGCATTAAGCATTTAGGTTATTTGCAGGTTGTTGTGATGTTGCTGGGGAATCCACTTCACTCAGCCTTCTGTGGGTTCAGCAGCTTCATACTAACTTGTCCATCTCCTTGCGTATGTCCTCCTCTGCCATGCCCTTGAGCCTGGAGTAGAACCACAGGTGCTCCTCCACGCTCAGCTTGTCAAACAGAACATTGTGCTGCGGACACATGCCCAGGTTCTGACGGATCCGCTCCATTTCAGTCCGGATGTCGTGGCCATAAATGGTGGCAGAGCCAGAGGTTGGAGGAAACAAGCCGGTCAGGATGGACCTGTGAAGACGAACGCAGAGACGTGGTGAAACCTGCACAGATGCAATGAACCACAACACCAATGCTTCCCAGCTGGAACTCCTCCTCCTTACATGGTTGTTGTCTTCCCAGCTCCGTTGTGTCCCAGGAAGGAGACCACCTGGTTTTCGTAGAGGTTGAGGCTCAGCTTGTTGAGGGCCAGTTTGCTGCCAGTCTTGTACACTTTGGTGAGTTTGTCTATGCAGACCACCAGGGGCAGGTGGGTCGGCTCCTCCTCCATGCCCCGCATCTCCTCTGGAGGTAAAAGGAAAGTTCTGACATTTATTTTGGATGAAAGTTAGAAAAAAACAATAATAAACATTTTTTTTTTCCTGAAACCTTCAGTTTTCAGAGGTTTTGCAGAAGAGAGTTCAAAACAGACGTACCAGACCTCCGCTGGTCCATGGCACACGCCTGATCCTCCTCCATCACACTTAGCCGTGGAGCCCCCCCTCCACACCAGGGCCAATCCCAGGTCTCAACACGTCCACTGCCTGACCAGTAGGACCTCTGCAGGGGGAAGTACCAGGGGCGGGGCAGCCCATACATTCCTGCAGGAGGAGGGAATCGTGTTTAACCGCCCTGAGCGGAGCGGACAGCCGGCAGGATTCAGGAAGCAGGGATTTCTCACCTGGATGAACAGCTTCTATGTACCAGGTTAACACTGCGTAAACCCCGGCATCAATGATCAGCATCATCATGGAAAGGCTTAGGTTAAAGTCGTCGCCCTCTACTGGAGACTGGCTGATGGTGCGCCACTGGATGCCTACACCAGCCACCTCATACAGAGCAAAGTACTTAGAGCCCAGACCAAAGGCTGTGGTGGACATTAGGGACTGAAACCAAGACAGAAAACAGGTTAGGAAACATCCGGTTCAACAGCAACGCATGAAGGACGAGGAAAATTAGAAAAGCTCTTACAGCGATACACTTCTCAAAGGCAGTGATCTTATCGTGGGCCACCTCCTCCCTGATTGCTACGTACATGTAGGGCACATAGCTGAGGAAGTAGATGATTCCTCCACAGGCTGAGGCTAGCTTTGCTTTGGAGTAGATCACCGATACCAAGAAACTGGAGAACAAAGAGAAAATTATTATTTAATCTTAATTGATATCTGCTGCCAAAGGCTTGTGGCCCGCTGGGTCAGCCCCCTGCCTGGAGCACATGGAGGGTGAAAGGTCAGGCTCAATATTACCTTAAGTATTATTAACAGACCCCATATCCCAGCATCTGAATTTAGTAGATTACTCCATCATTAACTGATGATCCTCTAACTGTTGTCACAGAGCCATTGGCCTTCTCTGATTGGACAGATTGTTACACCTCACCTTGTTCCTCAGCCTCAGTCAGGTAGAAGGTCACATAGAGAGGCTCAGGTTATCTTGAGCTATTTCTATAGTTCTGCAGCTATAGGCTTAAGGCTGATTTATACTTTGAAACTAGGTCGTCTGCGTAGGTGTCTCAGTAAACAAATAGACATCCCCGCCCCCTCCGCAGACGCTCCGCTGCACCTCTCCCAAATTGTAGCTGACCGCAGACAGGAGGCCGACTTGTTTTGTTTTTATGACAGCAATTGCGGAAAACAACTTGTGAAGTTCGGCCAGCTAGAAGAGCAAGGTGCACGAGAACGCTGGGACCCTTTTTCCACCTGGATCCCCGCTCTTTTTTGCCGTCATGTCCCTCCGTTGTCGGACTAAATTCACCCCCACTTCCTCTCCGTCTGGGCCGTATCTAGACCCACAGTGTATAGCGCAGACCACGCTCAAAATTTAGCATAAATCAAAATGTCTGCGTCAAGCTCACTGCGACACACTGCTGCGGGAGATAACCAGCCCTTCTGGAGGACATAGGGACTCCTTTTTCACTTTTCTGCTTGATTCTATCTCTATTCTCCCGCTCTGCATAATGTTAGTTCAATGTCTAACGTTCTGCTCTCTCTGCTTTTTCTCATAGTAGCTTCATCTGGTCTGTTCCTGTTTGGCTGTGACTCTATCCTAAAGAGAAATATCAGCTGCTGCCATCAACACCTTTGTTTATAGATGCTGGAGATCAGCCTGTTTTTCAGTGTAGTCCTGTTTCTCTGACTATGACTGGCTGGATGTGCTCTCTTCATACTCTGGGAGCTGGCTGTTTGTTTCCTGGACGGGGCTGCCTGTGGAGCTGGTTGACAGCTGCCTTTTGTATCTATGCTTTTTTTTTCTATGTCTGCTTCTGTCTCCTTGAACCCCAGTGGGCCTCAGCAGATGGCCGCTCACACTGAGCCTGGTTCTGCTGGAGGTTTCTTGCTGTTAAAAGGGAGTTTTTCCTCTCCACTGTCGCTACAAGCATGCTTAGTGTGAGGGATTGCCTTCAAATCAAGGAGTCGATGAAATCAACTGGTTTTCCTTAGATAGAAAACTTTTAATCGATTTCACTGTATCATCTGGTGAATTTCAAAGTGCCTTGAGATGACATGTGTTGTGAATAGGTACTATATAAATAAACTGAAATGAATTTAATTGAATATTTCACAGGTTAATCAGAAGCTGCAACATGATCGATGTTTAATGAAACAATTCACTATCGATTCTTTAAGGAGTATAAACACAATCCAAAATGTGACACACAGGAATTTCATTAAAGCATAACACAATAACATTCTGGGAGTCAATGTGGAAACTGTCCCAATTTAACAGAACTAAGAGAAGCTTTCAAAAAAAGAGTTCAGAAGCTTTTTTTGGGAAATTTTTAAAACTTTGAGTCTGGCTCTAAAAAGTGTTTGTTTAAATCTCACCAGAACATGATGGTGGCCACGGCGTAGATGGTCAGGAAGAGCCAGATGATGAGCGGGTCACTGTGGAGCAGCACCCTGCCGTACTTCAAGATGGCGGTGAGAGCGGTGACGGAGATGGAGAGCTGGACGAAGCCGGTGATGAACCAGGCCACCCAGTGGACTGCATTGTTCAGGCCCATCATCTTCATTACCTGATGAAGGAGTCCAAAGGTTACAGAGTCAGCTAGTTTATCCAACACTCAAATAAGCACATAAACACACCTGAACCACCAAACTCACTCCACTATGGAACACAGCAGAGATGAAGCAGAACTCACAAAAACAAGAGACTTTAATTCATTCTCAGTGGCCGGAGTCTGATAGCAGCTAATCCAGGGCCTCAAAGGGCCTGTTGGACACCCCCCCCCCACTGTGGCCCTTAATAACTTTAGAAAAAAGGATAAAGAACCAACTAATGTTTTAGTGTTGATAAAAACACAAATGCAGCTTTTTTTTATAAAGTGATTCTTCTAAATGTCCATTTAGATCCAAAAGAACCTGTATTATTAATTTAGTTAAATAATCCAAAAAGTTAAAGTTAAAAAAAAAACAATCCACAGGACTTTGTTTCCAAGTTTGAAGCTGTTTCGCTTTCCATCCTGGAAGTTTTTCAACTCAAAATGTCTTGATTAGCGTTGAGTTCCAGGCTTCTATAGAGTAGCCCAACAAAGCCTTGTAATGGCTTATTAAACATGCACATTGAAGCTGGAAAACTAGCTACACCCCTTAATAATGGGAGTCGTTGAGGTCGTTACTGATACTGGTTATTGCTTTGAAAAGGCAGTCGTTAAGGTGTCATTGTTGGCCTAGCTGTTGGCCTAGTTGCAATTGGTATTGGGAAGGAATCAACTCTATCGCTGCATTGTAGGTTTTTGAGAGCTGAAAGTCCACCTCCTCCGTTTAAGGTTGTTTTTTCTCTTTTATTTTTCTTCTTTATTTATTTTTAACAGTGTCCTGTCTGGCAATGTGGCAATAAGAATAATTGTATTGATGCCAAAAAGAGCTCAACAGATTTTACTATCACAAGTGTAGCATTATGGCAATTGCCATATTGCTCCTCTTGTCTCATGCATATAAATTGCTTTATTTTAATTATGCAGGGAGTTTTAGCGATTATATGGACACTGCAATGTAAATAGAACAGAAAAACAGAAGAAGAAAAACAAAAAAAAAGAGAAATGATGAAAGAAAGAGGAGAGAGAAAGGAGACAATGACAAAACATTTTCAGTCTGCTTCATCACCTGTAACAAGATGAAAAAAGAACAGCACAACCGAAAGACACGGTACGAAAAGCAACACCTTGAAACTATCGCTAAGGTAGTATTATTTATTCTGACATGTACTCTGTGTTACCTGAAGATATGAATGTATGGAAGTGAATCTCTGAGTACCTGGAGCCAAGCACCTGTAATTGTTTGTGAGGGTGCACTTGTGCATGTAAAGTTTATGCATAGAGAAAATGCTCAATAGTGGTTGTGAAGAGCCGAAGAGGTGCACCCCCAAGAGCACTGAGTCCAGCGCCGGGAGACCCAGAGCCCCAGGCGCCCAAAGGGACCCCAATAGCGAAAGCACCAAGGAGGGGCCAGCCCAGGAAATCTGACCCCCACCAAGGGAGGAGGAGAGACAGCCCCGAAGAGGCCCCCAGCCACCGCAATGTCTGCGCCCCGGGGAGCCGCGGGGACGGGTCTGCAGGCTCCGTTTTTTTCTCTTTTAACATAAATGGCTTCCTTCACACCCCTTTCAAACCACCTGTCTTCTTTATCTAAAATGTGAACATTCTGGTCCTCAAACGTTCTTTGTCCTTAAGGTTTATGTGGACGGCAGAGGCTTGTCCGGAGGACGTAGTCCGTCTGTGTTGAGTCATGCGTTCCAGAAGAGTCAGTTAGTAGTAGTTAGTAGGTTAGTTAGTAGTAGTAGTAGTAGTAGTTATTAGTTTTTCTTGTAATCAGTTTGAAAACCTTTTCCTTTTTTTGATCATTCTCCAAAATATCAGCATCTGAGTGGGAAAATGTTTAGATTCTCCTTTTGTCTTTTAATAACCTTACATATAAAATGTTTTTTTAATAAAACTATGATACATTTCCTATCAGATGTCTTTTACAGTAATGTTTAAGCCATGTTCGATAAGCCGGACTGAGACGACTAAGATGATCAGATGTTGTTCTTACTTTCATCACTCCTTAAGTTATTTTTCCAGCATTATTTTATTTTTTTTTTCATTTTCTTGCCATCGTCTTTATATTCACAGTTAGCTCATTTGAACAGCCTGGGGATCACATGCAATCAGTGTGTTCCAGGAGCGCGAAATTCTGACACAACTTCCTGAGTTGGTGTTGGAGGCTGAAGCCGAAGCGTTTATCCCGGGAGTTTAACCAGGTGTTCATGATTGGTTCAAACGGGGAGATGTTTTGGTACAGTCTCTCCATGTTGGGATGGAAACACAGAAAGCTTCTTTCTTTGGGAGTTTTGATAGCAAACAGACGCATCTAAACTGAAACTTTAAAGAGTCTCTTTCTTCTGGAAGTCTGCATATGAGGGATCCGACCACAGGCCGACATTAAGCTGGTTAGAGTTCAGAATCTACTGTATCTACACTCATTATACAGGAGAGCAGTGATAGCATGAAGTCAGACTGTCAAACAAAAGCACATTCAAACATTGAGAGCATAAAAACAAAGACATTTTATGCTGTTGCAAATTTAATAAAAGGATCTTTCAGTTCAGAGCTGATCATCTTTAACAGTTAAATCCCAGTTTAGTAACTAATGATGTGCATTCTGAATCAGAGATATGTGAGGAACAGAAGAATTAATCTCTTCAAGGAAGAGGGGTCAAAAATAATCATATTCTTTAATTAAAAGTACAGATACTGGTGTAAAAAGATTCAAAGTACCAATTAAACTCCTCCACATATGTAAAAAAGTACAAGTTGTACATTGCACCTAAAGGTCAAAGCTATAACTGTTAAATATGCTGGAATGAGGGCGATGTAAAAATGTTTCAGCCTCATCAGAAAACCTTCCCTCTCCACTCTGCTGTGTGATGTCATCCATTCTAAATCTGTTTTTCCCTCAAACCTTGTGGTGCTTTAAGGCTGATTTTCAGTTTTTGGAAGATGAAGAATTTATCTACAAAGAAAATTTTAAACTGTGTTTTTAGGTGAATATATGACCACACAGCGAAGCCTCAAGAAAAGTGGATTTTTCTTCTTTCTCCCCTCTCCCTATTCATTTTTATGCATAGATTTTTGTTGTCAAAGTAACTTTAATTGCTTAGAAAAGTAATAGCAGCATCTCTAGACCGAGCCGGACGTTTTAATTCCTATATTAATATCTCTAATGGGCATTTCATACCCATGCATTGCTTATAGCAGGCACCAACTAAACAGAAGACCTGTATAATCAGCAGATTACCTGTAGAGATACAGTAATTAAAATGTCAACGTTGCAAAATTATACAGATTGAAACAGAATATGAAACATAATCCTCATATATTCTAACAGATGGGGAATGCCTTACGTTTCAGAATCTGATTCGTCTTTGCAGCGTTTTCGTTCTTTTCTCCATCATTGTTTGTCTATAAACTAACTGGGCTCCAATGTGACTGATTCTCTTAGCTCTTGACTTTTACTATTTAGCTGCCGCTGTTACATCATTTAATTATCAATGTGTTTAGAACCAACAGGCAAGGTTGGAGAAATAAAGGAGCGGAAAGAACAGATATTTGAATATTATTTATTTGTTAAAATGTAGAGAATAAAAATAAAAAGTCCTGAGAAAAAATAAATACTTAACCATTTATAGGGCAAGTTACCGTGCCCTATAAAGGGAGTCCCCCCCGTCCCTCATTGAGGTCTAGAAACACAAGATCTATATCCAGCCATTCAGCAAAGATACTGCTGTATGGCAGTACATGTTAGTTTTGCATTTGACCAATTAGATGAGAACTTGAATGATTTATTACCTACTTTAAATTAAGATGAAAAAAAGTTAACAAGTTAAAAAAAAAAATTTAAAAAGGTAAATGAAAAAGTGAAAAAACTAGTGGAAAAGTTAAAAAGTAAATTAAAAAAAGTTAAAAAAAAAAATGTGAGTGATGTATCAGCATTAATACTCTAAATCAGGGGTCTTCAACGTTTTCCAGGCCAAGGACCCCCAAACTGATGGTGAGATGGAGCAGGGACCCCTAATTATATATATCGTATGAAATTGTGTTATATCAAACTGGTGCTATAGTAAATCTAATACAGATGGAGTAATCTAACGAAAATTATTAAAGTATTTCTAATTCTGATTCCTGGTCGATGGGACAGGTGTTGTGAATGAAACGGTGCCCAGCTTGAAAGAGCTCCTGTGTGTCGCTGAATGTGTGCATTGATGACTGAAAGACATCTTCTGCCTCCATTTATCTGTTTACTACAGTCTGTTGAATTCATGTTCATGTGTATTTATAGACATTTCAATTAGTGGAAAAAATTGCAGGGGGGACCCCCATGCCAGACATGGGCAATGTGGAGTCAACAAGTCATCTCCATGTCATGTATTTGTTCTACCCAGCCACTGAAGCAGGTGAGTCCAATCTTCACCGGGAATTAACCTGTGCAGATTGGACTCACCTGGTGAATTGGCTGGGTAGATTAAATACATGACATGGAGATGACTTGTTGACTCCACATTGCCCATGTCTGCCCCATGCAGTACCTCCGTGGACCCCCTAGGGGTAGCGGACCCCCTGCTGATGACCTCCACTCTAAGGTAATGTAACAACAAAAAACAGTTTTTTTTGACTGTGAGTTTTTCTCACGAATTTCTTATAGAGACACTTTTGTTATTTTCCTTAATATATTAGGGCAAGCGGCCGTTCCTTCTTTTTACATTGAGCTTAATTTTTGCATCTTTTGAATGTTACAAAAGTAACATTAGTAGTAGTTTTTGTTCTCCAATAACACTCTTGGCTTGAAATTTTGATTTTCAATCATATTTCATTGAGTCCCTTATAAAGGGTTAAGGACAGATACCAAAATAGTCTGTTCTGCCTTATTAGAAATAAGAACTAATTTCTTAAATTAAGTGTATTAACCCTTAATTTCAGTAGGTAAATGCGATAGTTTGCCAATGGAATGTGTATTTTCACTCTTAAAATAAGGTAATTAGATAAAATGCACTTGAAATATACAATGCAATTCTGTTTTCTTATTTTGAATGTAAATTGTCTTTTTCCATTGGCAAAATGTCTCTTTTACCTCCTTAATCCAAGCAAAAATTCACTTATTTAAGAAAAAAATTACTTATCTAGATTTCGATTTGTTCCAGTTTAAGTATTTATACTAAATTGAGACCTCTACGTGTTAAAGGTAGAGAAACCAAAGTTATTCTCCTGCAGAACCACCAGGTCCCGTGGTGACATTTTTGGGCGCCCTCTATGCTACAAGGGTCCAGAAGGCAATATGGCATGGAGAGAAATCTGAATCTGCACACGTTACGGTCATAATATATAATAAATCCAACCGATAATAAAACATGAGGTCAGCGAGGGTAAATCCTAACCAGTCTGATGTAAAGCTACAGGGAGTGTCTGACCTCTTTGAGTCGATGTTCTTTCTCTGCTACGATGTGTTGAATCATCATGGCGACGGAGTAAACCCAGGAGATCACCATGCAGAGAGGCATCATGTGTTCAATCACAAACAGGAAGCTAAAGGGAACAAGGAAAACACAAATCATGTAAAGACAAATCGGTTTAATCACATTTAATTTCATCAACATGTTTTCACTTGATTTTTACACCTGAATCTAAGGATTATTTATTTCTGCCTGCATTTGGCAGCTTAAATGTTCAGTATGTGATGATACTTACTCATCCCTGGTATAACATGGGTAAGGGAACATCTGGACATAGTTCCCAGGCTCTACCACATCATGGCCCACAAATGTGTTGATTATGGCTCGCTCTATCATGTCTAAAGGATAATAGAAAAGAAACAAACTAAATTTGGGAGAGAAAAAAGGAACAATTCAGCAGCAATAAAGCTAAGACGTAAGCAAGCTTTCATTTAAAAGCTTTTTTTTTATTTTTTTAAACAAACGTTGGTTGAATTGTTTATACCAAACGTATTCCAAAAAAGGTTAAAAAACAGTCAACTGGACTTTTCAATTCAAAATTGAACTTGAACTCAACGCTAATTCTGACATTTTGAATTGAAAAAGCTTCCTGGGTGTTTTTTTAAACGTTTTTGGAATAACTGACCTGGATGACTGAGAATATTCACCAGCATGTAGCAAACATAGTATTTGCATAAATCAAACTTCAATCTAACAGACTGAAACACATTGATTGAATCATGGCATGTGTTGCTAAAAAAGAAGCAGCAAAGATGGCCGTGCCTCTTTGACAGGTGGCTTCACATTCAACTCAAGAATATTGTGGTATAGTGTTAGAAATATTTTATTTATACTCTTACTTTCTTTGTGTTTCATGGGTTGTGTTCTAATGAACTATTATGATGTATAATGTGTGATTCATCTTTTATTAACTCTTGCTTACGATCGTTCCAGATAAAGGTCAAGGGTTGTGAAAGAGGCCTGAACAGCCTCTATCACATGTTTCTTCTAAACATGTGTTCTTGGAACAATTCAATTGTAAAACAACCACATGCTTTGTTTTAACATATGTGCTGAGATTTAAAGTAAGATCCTTTTGTTTCCCTTCCCCTTAGTTAAACCTCAGCTTGTGTAATTAGGGACATCCCCTTTTCTTCAATAGCGAGGAGAAAGCTGAAGGCTGTAGAGTGGGTTGGAGATTTGTAAACTCCGCAGTCTCTTCCTACTTTCCTTGCGAGTGAACTAAATTAATTGTCTCTGTGCCTTATTTCTTTCCCTGTATGTATGTATGATGTTTTAGGTGCTTAGACCTGACATATAGCGAGAATGTGTCCAAAAACAGCCTGGACCATCATTCTTCCACCACCATGCCTCACAGCTGGACTGAATTGGTTCTCTGATATGTGAATCAGAGCTAAGCGTTTCTCTCCAGTCTCATCAGCGCAAATGGAAACGTTCCTCTATCCTGGTGCTTCATTCAGAGGCAGACCAAGATCCAAACTTCTCTAAACAAACCAGTTATTCTTCACCCAATGTCCTGGGGAGTGTTGACCTAGTGAGTAGTGCAGTGCCCTTGTGTTCTGAGAAGGTTGCAAGTACCCAGTCTGATCCCCTCACTCTGTCAGGTCGACAATTTCCTCTGTGAGGTTAATCTGTGAGATACAGAGGATACTCTGGGTTCTATTTATCAGAGTGGAATTTAAAAATCTTTAAAAATCTGAGCATTTTATTCATATAAATGCTGGTTTTAGGAAAAACAAAACCAACAAAAAAAAATTACAGCTGCACCAGACAGATGTGCAGAACTGGGTCATAATTTATGGCCCGGCCTCTGACAGAGAAAGATGGAGGAGCTGTAGGTGCAGCAGCAACACAATCAATCTTTTTATAAAGTAAAAGATCAATACTGGGTCATTTATGACCATGTTAAGATAAACCAATATATTTTTTTTTTTATCTCAACTCATTAATGAGTAACCTGAGCTTTGATACAATCAAAGTTTTCAATGGAGGTTCTGACAGGGTTTTAAGCTCAGTAATAAAGCTTCATTTGTCCAACGCTTCAATAAAAGGGCAAAAAAAAAAAGGTTTGTCCATCTCACAGGTGACAGCATGTAGTTTACAACATGTCGGTGGCAGGTTATTTCCCAGAATGCAAAGTTTTGCTGAGTGGGTGTGCTGTCAGAGGTTACTGTTGATTGCGGCTGTAAATCAGCAGCCTGTCGTTTGTTCTCAGCCGTAGAAAAACTAGGAGGTTTTTCACATAAGGAGAAAGAGTCAGAGTCCATGTTTGGGTTTTTAACATTAGTGGTGTTTCCATCAGCTTTTTCTAAAGCACATTTTTAATGATCACATCAGAAAAGCTTCATGGAAGTTCAAAAATACTTTATTGATCCCAAAGAGAAATTAAATATGGCAGAAACTTATAGGGTTGTTATTTATTAAACCGGTCGTTGTAGGTGTTGATAGCTTTAGGCAGGAAGGATCTTCTGTAGACGTCTGCAGAGGTGTCAAGAAACAAAGTACGAATACTTTGTTACTTTACTTAAGTAGACATTTCTGCAATCTATACTTTATTGAAGTAATTATTTTCAAACAACTTTTTACTTCTACTCCTTTTTGCAATTATCTCTTCTATCTGCTCCTTACATTTTAAAAGCAAACTCATTAGTTTTTTTGTCTTTAAGCTCATTTTGTTTATGACCTGTTGGTATTTATAAAAGATGAAAATAATTAGTTTTATCCAGAAAATGTCTTTGTCTGGAAGTGGTTGTTCCCCACATTCCAAAAGAAATATTTTTAGATGAAGCAAAGTTAGATTTGACACTGTTACCATTAGTTATAAAAACTAAGCCAATTAAGTCTAAGGAACTTATCAGCCAGAATTGTAGAAAAATGTTCTTTAATGTTCTTTAATAGGGTAGTGCAGTAAAGCTTTTTCTTAACATTTTTTACTGCATTACTTTTACTTTTATTCATGAAGTAGTTTTAAAAATTGCATATTTACATTTCTACTGGAGTAAAAAGCCAAGTTTAAAGTAAGATTGATACTTCTACTAATAAACATTAATACTTTTGACGCCTCTAGCGGTCTGTCTTGCACCGGCTCTGCGGAAGCCTCTGACTGAAGAAACTCAGTTGTTTTTTTAACAATCTTGTGTAGAGGATGCTAATGAAGAGGTTGACCATAATCTTTGTGAAATTCTTTGTGAAATCATTTCCAAATCTCCCCCGGATACGCAAAGAAATTCTTACACTCGCTTGAGGTGGATTTTGCCTTTTAGGAAAAAGGACTGATGTGCAAAAAGGCAGATTGAAACACTTGAATCAGCTCCGACGTAGTGAACATTTGGATATGACTGATCAGCTGTTTCCGCTGTCTGTGTCTTCCTGGATTTCCCTATTATACGTGTAAATGTGGCTGGAGGCAACATCCCCATTACTACGTTAATGTAAGAACCAGATAGCAAAACATTCATTGAAACCTTTAATAGATCGTGTTCAGTGCTCGATTGCAGCCTCTACTTCCTGTTTATTACAGCCATGTACAGCGACATTATGTTGATGATGACGTGTGACGACATTAATAAAAAAATAATAATTTAACTTTATTGATCTCACATAAGAGAAATTTACCGCTGCATTTAACCCATCATCTTGGGGAGCAGTGTGGGGTTAACGGGTCTTGCTCAGAGATCCAGGGTGGCAGTCTGTGGGAGTGGGGCTCAGACTCAGAACCTCAGCGTTCCAATCTCTATGCCCTAACCACTAGGCTGCTACTCCCTGGTTTATTCAATGATGATAATAAAATTTATGTGTGCTTATGAATCATTTGTGCAAGGGGGATGCTGCACTGTGTCTTGTGATGCAGTCAGGAGACCATCCTGACTTGTCATTCTGATGGAGCGTCTTGTCTTTATGAACTGATCAATTGTTCTGTCAGAACAAATACTGTTTTGTAATCATGTGTTATGTTCTGTTAATAAAAGACGGCTGCAGGTGGGGATTCGGAGAAGGAAAGCTTGAAGTTGGGTTGGGCTTTTCCTTCCGCTCCTGCAGAAGCTGCTTGAATCTCTTTCCTGTGCAGACTCAATTTCGATTTATTTGCAAATCTACATTTACTGAATCCAACACTCCCCATTACGCTTAGTGCTTAAAATTAGCTTTTCAGTTGGATGGAAACACGGCTTTTGATGTTTTCATTAACAGTGTGTGCGAGGTCAGGTTGGAGTGTTAGTGATTTGGCTTTTCAGCACCAATACTTTAAGGCAGGGGTCTTAACTTTGTCCAGGCCAAGGACCCCCAAAGTGATGGCAAGATGGAGCAGGGACCCCCTAATTATATATATTGTATGAAATAGTGTTCTATCAAACTGATCCTTTAGTCACTCTATTACAGATGGATTAATGTAATGGAAGTAATTTCTCCCTGGGATTCTGATTCCTGGTTAATCGGACAGGTGTTGTGAATGAAATGGTGCCCAGCTTGAAAGAGCTTCTGTGTGTCGCTGAATGTGTGCATTGATGGCAGAAAGACATCTTCTGCCTCCATTTATCTGTTTACTACAGTGTGTTGAATTCATGTTAATGTGGATTTAAAGACATTTCAATTAGTGGAAAAAAAAATTGCAGGGGGGAATAGAAAAAAAGTCTAATCAACCAAAACTTTTGCGGCCCCCATGCACTACCTCGTAGTCGCGGACAACTTGTTAAAGAAGTTCGGCATGGACTCAGTGTTAGATGTGAAGCATATAGAAGTTCTTTATAGAAGGCACCTTCACATCTAAAGGGAAAGTCGAATGCAGAAGTTACCTTGAATCCAGACAAAGCCGTAAAGGAAGTAGAATTTCCCCCCCGTGTTGGGTCCGGGTCGCCAGTACGCCCGTCTTATTTCATTCGTCTTCTCTGTGAAGCTGGAGTTCTGCCTTATTTTGTACTGAACATGAGGTGGCAAAGAACCGTCCCTGTTAGTCTGGAAAATCACACCTGAGGACGGGAAAATGTGAAGAACATTGAATTTATCAACCTGAGTTTGATATAATAGTGCATCGTTTTTGTAACACTGACAAAATGGAAATGAGAACTGTTATAAGTTTAGGTGTTGTTACAGTTTTTAGACAAAGAATGCTTATTAAAAAAAAAATACATGACGTTACCGACAGTCTTACATCTATAGTTTTAAACCTAACCCTTGTAAACTCCAATCTGTCGCCTACATTTGACCTCTCCATGCTGTTACTTCATGTTCGCATCTGCACAGATTCTCAGGGATCCAATACAAACTCACAGCTATTCTGATTTGAACATTAGTTAAAACCAGAGGATCGCTCTTCTTCCACTTCATATAATACGCTTGTAATGCACTGAAGGGGCGACTCACTGGCAAACACCGACACATTATCCTGGTAGGCTTGGCTCAGGGTGTAGTTGACGATGCTGTCCTCATCAGGGAAGCCTTTGAAGACGTCAACGCTGACCTGCAAACAGAATGACAAAAGGATTTTTATGGCGACTGATCCTGGCTTACTGATACCAGTCCAGTGCCGTACCTAGAGCTCATTCACACAACCTTTGGAAAACTTGCCGAGATCAGTCCGAGCACAGTAACCGAGAGAACTGTTGAATGCAAATGACATGCAAACCTGAACTGGACAGTTCCAGACACAACCAACCGCGCTAAACTAGTACTAGTACTCAGTAGAGCTCAGCACAGTTCAGTTCTGGCTCGGTTCTCAGATAAAAAAAAGAGCGCATGAGCAGACCGCCTCATCTCCTTACAGTCAACCAGTTAGGAACTGTCCTATGGCCCATTTACGTTCCCCTCTGAAAACACATCCGTGCCGAGCTTCGATCATTTAACTAGATCTACATCCTACATCACTACATCCTAGTGACGATATACAGTACTAATACTCTCTAGAGGGAAACAAGCAAATCAACATGGCGGCGCCCGTAACATTCAGGGGAGTTTGGTTATATTTGTGTTATTTTGTTGTTCACAGAGAGTCAGGTGAAGAAGGCAGGCTTTGGTGAATTGACATGACAATTGGCTTTTGGGAAGTGGATACGACAAACGATTAGGGCTGGGAATTTTCGGCAAAGTCCTGAATCGATTCGATTTTGATTAATACAGTTCTAAATCGATTAATTTCGATTCGATCTGTTTTTAACAATAATGAAAGTGGTTCAACTTAGTTTCAAAAAACAGACAGTTTAAACTTGAGATGTGAACAAAACTGTCTCATAAGTGCAAACAGGAAGCAGACTTGACACAGCAGACATGCAGCTCATGCAAATGCAGCCCCCATTTGTAAATGTCTTCAGTCAACCTATTGGCTATATTTGCAGCCGTCTGGCTTGAAGTCATCTTGAGTGCATCTTTCCTGCTCATTTGAATGTGAACGTCACGTAGGTCACTATAAAACTAATCAATCTCATTCCCTAGACATCGATTTTGCAAAAGTGTAAAGGAATCGATTCAAAATACATTAAACTGATTTTTTTACCCAGCCCTACAAATGATAGCCTAATCAAAGCTTACAGATGCAGGAAACATCGACAGGAATTGTGGTTCATCACACTGCTAAGCAGAATCATCACTGGAAATTGTGTGGCACTTTGGGGAAGCTATTTTTAAATAAATGTCTAAAGTTTCCTGATTAGGGAGGCTGATTGTGAGGAGATGACGCGGTCTGCTCATGCGCTCTTTGTTATCTGAGCACCGAGCCAGAACTGAACCACGCTGAGCCCTACTGACCAGTTTAGTGCGGTTTGGTTGTGTCTGGCACGGTTCTGTACAGTTGTGCGTGCCATTTACCCTCAACAGTTACCTTGGTTACCGTGCTCCAACTGTAAATGGGGCTTATGGCCGTTTTTTAATTTACAAGAACGCGAGTACAGACTCCTGTCCTTGCCAAGTATGTTCTTGAGTAAAACAGAGGAATGTATGGACTCGTGGAGAATGTGAGCATGCAGCATAAATATGGGTCAAATGGAACAAGCGTACTCGTGACGTCACCACACGCTCGGCTAGCCTGGAGCTGCATTTCACCCCCTTTTATTAATTGTCTGTAGTTAATAATTGATTCTAATTCTTTTCATTTAGTGGGGGAATAATAATTAATAAAGTCAGATAAACACAAATCAAATGAACGTTTTGCCAAATAAAACAAAAAACTCTCCATCAGAGCCAGCTGTCCTTCACACACGGCTAGGCCAAGAGAGACCTTTTAACTAAATACTCTGAGCTCAGTGAGTGCACCATTGAAAGCTGCTGCTGCCGCAGTGCATGCTGGGACAGCTGTCAATCTCAAGAAAGGATAAGTCTGCTCTGCTGCATGCTGGGTAAAGAGGGCGGGGTGAGAACGACATCCGGAGACCTTTGCCGTTCTCGGTCTTGACGTCTTGTGAATTGGAACACTACTAGGCTGAGCTTGATGACGTTTCACGAGCGCACAAGCACATGAGAACGCACAAGTACACATATTGAGAAATGTCCAAAGTCTTCTGCCTCATTCAGTCTCCATGGCAACCAGCTGTTGTAATGGCCGACAGGCTCTATGACAACTTCCTGTATTAACAGGCTATCTGACGTAGAGAAGTCATCCTGGTGGAGAATAAGTATTGTGTCTGAAGATCTTCTGGGTCAGATGGAGTTACTGTTTTTAGTGAATCTAACTAAGCCAAGTCTGATTCAGACAGTTTTATAACTAAATTAACTCTGTTCATTTAATTTAGATCCAGGCTGGGCTGACCTTTGACATGAAGCGTGTCCAGCCACAGGCAGCGTTGTCGATGGTATCCAGCTGCTCCAGCAGGGCAGACGTGTTTGGCAGAGAGTAGTTTCCCATCATCAGAGTCTGAATCAGCTCGCTGTCTGTGCCGTTCAACAGGTCCGGCTGCTGCTGGAGCTCCGATGACAGCTGGACAGAGACGGAAGGGACAAAATGAGCGGAGCGGAGTGGAGCAATGGATTCACATCCCTCAAGCACTTTTAGGTAAAATGCAAGGAAGCAAAAATGGTTTTAAAAGTGGAAAGTTTTATGTTCAGAGCCCCTAAGCCCATATGTTGTAAACCCTCCATCTGTTCTGCAGGTACATCTTCACCAGCATCACCCTTCTAAAACTCACCTTTTATCTTCTTCTCAAACGTGTTCAAGCTCAGTCAAACTGAATGAAGAGCCTCTTTGATCCAGTCTTTATCTAAACTGTTCCTCTGTACCTTTTCAGGTTCCTGTTGATCTCTGTTTATCTCAGTCGGAGCTACGCTTGTGTAAAATGGTGTTGGGTTTGACCATCCCCATTGACTTTGAATGAGCGCTAAACACCACAACCTCGTCAGACATGGATTGGAAACAAAATCGGATTCGGTGTGTTCTGGCCATTAACTGTTGCAGCCTTTCAGAGAACAACTATTGCTGTGTTAATTTATATTACTGATATAAATGTTGGATTACATATGAACTAAACCTGATGTTGAATAGTCTGTCCTTTGTACACTCCTGATCAAAATCTTAAGACCAGTCACAAAATTGCAATTTGCTTGGACTTTGCAAGGGTGCACCAAACATGGGACATTGAAAGGTGGAAGAAAGTTGTCTTCTATGACGAGAAAAAATTAAACCTTGATGGTCCTGATGGCTTCCACGTTACTGGCATAGCAAGGAGATCCCACCTGAGATGTTTTCTACACGGCACAGTGGTGGGGGCGCCATCATGATTTGGGGTGCGTTTTCCTTCAATGAAACAATGGAGCTTCAGGTTGTGCAGGGGCATCAAACAGCAGCTGGCAATGTGGAGATGTTGCAGAGAGCATCCCTCATGACTGAGGGCCGCTCGTCTGTGTGGTAATGATTGGGTTTTTCAACAGGACAATGCTGCAGTTCACAATGCCCACCTGACAAAGCAGTTCTTCCAAGAGAATAACATCACTCTTTTGGACCATACTGCATGTTCCCCGGATCTAAACCCAACTGAGAACATTTGGGGATGGATGGCAAGGGAAGTTTACAAAAATGGACATCAGTTCCAGACAGTGGATGCCCTTCGTGAAGCCATCTTCAACACTTGGAGCAACGTTCCCACTAGCCTCCTGAAAAAACACTGGCATCAAGCATGCCTAAACAATTGTTTGAAGTAATCAACAAGAATGGTGGAGCTACTCATTACTGAGTCCTTTTTTTGACACTTTGATTTCTGTTTTGGAGGGTTTTCGGGTTTTTTTTTAACTACGGTCTTAAACTTTTGATTAGCTGAAAAAATCATGTTTGAGTGTAAATGCAGTTTTCAATTAATTCCCCACTCAAAAGTTTTTGTCTCTTACGCTGATTTCTTCTTTTAACATTGTGAAGCTCTACTTAGAACCTTCTTCAGATCCAATAGTGCAAAATGCAAATTCTTGCAATTTTTTGACTGGTCTTAAGATTTTGATCAGGAGTGTATTTATTGAATGTGTGAAATATTTTATCTTTGTGATCGTCCATTAATGCAGAGTGATAATAGACAGAGAGAGGAAAACAGTTCCATCCCTCACTGATAGAGGGCGGTGCTGAGTCCAGACAGCAAACAGGTGAAGGGCGGGCATGAGGATAGGAAAGGTTTCTTTTTAAATTTGATATGATAAAACGGAAGATTAATCAAAACTCTGTTGGGACCCAAAAGTTTGGAGCTCCAACAGAATCTGAATATATATTTGTTTCTTGCTATGTTGACTGCTACTGAGTTGGTTACTACATACTAAAAAGCTTTAAAAACCACAAAATGTTTAAGTAAAAAGGTAAAAAAGGGGAGGTTTCATATAGTTGTTTATCCGGCAGCCATGAACCTCACCACACGCCAATGGATGAAATAGCTGGACTCAGATGATTGGCACAATTACATTTTTTAGTTAAACTAAATGTTAACAAACAGTGTGCGAGTTCCTGTTCCACAGCACGGTGAAAGCATTCATACATCTTAACATTTTAGCAAAACAGTAACAGAGAACTCTCATTGAAGAGCGGTATACCTGCTCGAGCCACAACAGATGGCTCTGCAGTCGGCCCTCTTCCAGAAAGGTCCTCAGCTGGGCTGAGATGTTCAGCCAAACACGGGTGTAATGTGTCACATTCCCAATAAACGCAAACGTCTCATTTGCCTGTAATTAAAAAGAGAACAAAAGGCATCAATATTTTAGGATTTTTCTTCTCTAACATCACCTTCCTGAAGCTTTCTGAAACCACAGTCTGCTCAGACAGAGACGTCAAGAAGTGATCTAACGCAGAATACCCTGCAAAGAGTTTTAAACACCAAGATGCAGAGGATGGACCCATTCCTGTCGTCTGATGGGTGGAACATGTCAAAGGAAAGCTGCCATGTTATCATGTCTTCCAGGCAGGCTACCTACTTTCTGAATGACTTTGTCCACCTGAGAGCCAATGGGGGAGTAGAGGATCTTGGGATTTGCAGTCATCAGATGAACAAGTAGGCCCAGATTCCTTTGTTCCTTGCTGGTGAATCCCAGTGAGCTCATGTTCCCCTGCTTCAGCGCTTCAGGCTCAATGATCCTGAAACAAAAAGGAGCAACATTTACAGTATGAATTTTGAAAGTAACAGGTTTCTTCCACATACGTAGATGTCTGCTGCTTCTTTTTTGAGCCCGTCATTGAGCTCCATTTTAGCAGTGGAAAACCAGGGAGAAAAAAGAGTCACCTGCCAGAGACTCCCTAGTTAATTTGTACAAAGTAAGCCAGACACAAGAAGACAATATGGAAGGAAATCCACTGAGAATCCAAGGAGTTCCACTTCTTTAAAAATCATTCAAATGAGTTTGATTGGAAAAAAGAAACCATAAATATTGCAGCATTGGGATGTGGTCAGATGTTTCTTCTGGATGAACACAGTTCACACGTTGGAATGTTGGACCTGAATGTCAACCGAAGAGATCATGATGACTCCTAACAATGATGGCCACAGGGGCACCTCCTACCATTATGATTCCTGTAACTTTGGAGACTATGGGGACTCTTCTAATCATCGGGGGGGATTTACCATTAGGCAATACTAGGCAGTTGCCTAGGGCCCCAAGTTCCTGGAGGCTCCACACTGTAAAACTCTGTTTACATGTTTAGTTAACACAACTACTCCCTTTTTTTGCACATGAATTATGTTTTTGATAAAAATCCTTTCACTAAAATGCCATCAGAACACTTATAATATTAAATGTGTCTCAGCCCAAAACCACCCACCCACCCCCTATGTCCACCATATTGGATCATTCCATTTGCTGCACATGTTCAGAAAGGTCCAAACAGACAGCAGCAAACCATTTGAAAACAAACGATGCGAAGAGCAGTGTTGCCAACTTAGCGCTTTAGTCGCTATATTTAGCCACTTTTCAGACCCCTTTAGCATTTTAATTTCAATAAAGCGCCTAGCACCAAATCTAGCGACTTTTTTCTGCTACAGGAGACTTTGGCGACAACATCTAAAAGCAGCAAACTCTGCTCTCCAGAGCGAGTAGATTGGTAACCCTGCCTCCTGCTCTCCTCTATGTTGTCTGCTGTCATGATTCATGCAGCTATTATTTCATCCAAATGAAAAATGGAGAACAGATAAGCAGATCATGGCTTGTCTACAGTGAAAAGAAGGACTGGGTTATTTACTTTGGCCTTTTTGGAAACACAGGAAGGAGCAATCAGCTAAGTGAGCTTAGTGCTTGGAAAAAATCTTTCATTCCTTTAGAGACAGCATGAAAAGTCAGCTGAGTACAAAAACACAGAGAGGAAAACAAGAAGAAAAGGGACAAGAAGAGAGGGACACAACCTAGAACAGATAATGGATGTCTATTCTATTAACATTTCTGTATCTGTAGAATGGGTCTGTTTTATGTGTTGTCTTCTCAGTTCATATTGTAGGGCCCCATGTCTGTCTTTGTCTAGGGCCCCACATTTCCTAAATCTGCCCCTGCTTATCATGGAATACCTTGGGGAACCGCTCTAACAATGCTAACATTGGAGACAATGGAAACTCTGTTAACCATGGCGGCATTGGAAACTGGAGACTCCTCTGACCATAGAGACTTCTCAAACCATGGAGACAGGAAGACAGACGCACCATTCAGAGAGATTTTCTTACAGATTTTGAAGAGAAAACTTCAATCCTTGTTCTTCCTTTTCGGTTAATTAGAGGAGAGAAGAAAGAAATCCTGAACAGAAACCTTCTCCTAAATGATTCTAAAAAGATGTTTTTGCTAACTTATTTAATTACCTGGGTTTATATGCTTTTGTATTTTTGTTGATTAAGTTTTATCAAAAAAGATTACCTGTATAAATAGGATTAAAATAAAAATTTAATCATTTGTAGTCTGACTGAATGATGGGATTTACCTTAGACCTTGTTACTGTTTAAGAAGATCAAGTTTTTTTCTTATATTATTTAAATCAGTCCGTTATTTGTGATTGTGTGTTTAATCTAGATCTAGAGGGTGAATATATCTCAGCCTCCAGTCGATTTATGCCTCCAAATGATGACTTCTTCTAATCTCTGACCATAAATAAAGGAGTTCTAAGTCGTTTTAATAGATAATCATTTTCCCACGTGAAGTCGAGGATCAGATCTGAAAACAGACTGCTCAGCTGTTTGTTAAATATAAAACTGTTGAATTTATGAGCCTCTTTTACTATAACTCAACATAATGCTAATAGAGGCGACATTATTAATGTCTCGGGTCAACATAAATGTCCCGGTGATTAATTTTCTAAATGACTTTCTTTTCTCAGACGGATTTTAACTTCCTATTTTTGGCTTTAATCCTGAACCTTTCAGTGCTCCCTATTTCCTGCTCCTCCTGCAGTCGATGTTCTGCTCCATCTTCATGCTCCACCTACCTGTTGTTCCCACACAGGATGGGCTGTAGCCCCGCCCACAGCTGGACGAAAGCCGAAAACTGAGAGTGAGGGTTTTCTTCCTCCGCCTTGGCCTTTCCGCCTCCCTCCCCTGTCTCCTCTCCATCCTCCCTGGGAGCGTCGGTGGTGTTGGAGCTCCATGCAGTCGTGTTGAGGGGCCATGTCCCGTTGGCTGGGGACAGTGGGTTTTGACCGGCGCAGGCTCCTTTGGGTAGCAGGCGGGCCAGCCCAGAGAGCAGGTCCACATCCTTTAGGAGCCTCTCTACATCAGCCAAATCCCTCAACAGAGCGCCCAGGTGGGACTGGGAGAGGGGGGGCAGGTAGCCGGGCTGCTCCAGATGAAGCTGAAAACAGACCAGGTTCAATGATTATT